CACACCAAAGTCCCCCCACCGGTAGGGGGGTGTAGGGGATTATTGGAATGTATCAACCACTCATATTTAAAGGGGGTAAGTTTGGACCCACCACTGACCTAACTAGCCTACTTATAGATATGATGGAGCATTCCAAATTAGCAGAAGCAATGGCTCTTCAAATAACGATTTTTAATTGTGATTTTGATCGGTCTCTGCACCTACTCTTTGTATTTTAACAGTTTTTGTTTTGTTATTTTTTTCAGATAGTTTTATTGTATTTATTCAGTGTTGTAAGTCTAGTGAGAATTCTAGTCTAAAACACAGCACTTAAGAACATTACATAAAACAGAATAGCAAATAAATTAACAGTAGTTAAGTGCAGAGAGCCAGGGAGAAGGCCTTGGAGCAAATATTCAGAAACTGTTATGGAAGCATTCCTTAAGTGTTGAAAAGGGAGATAACATGAAGAAGAGACTCAGGAAGACTTCTCTCTGACTTGCTAGGGAATAAGACGGAAGAGAGAAGTATAAGATTTACAAGATTATCTTATTATAGCCTATCTCAATAAAGTATAGTTCTGGTCTTTCTGTGGAGTGTGTTCCTGATCTGGTCTACCTTGCAGGGCTGACATTAACAAGTAAAAACAATTGCTTTTGAGAAACATCTGGAATAATACAGCTCTGTACTGCAAAAAATAATATGTTCAAATAATACATACCTGTATGTTTGATAACTATTTCTTATTTTGATGCTACCTTTCACAAAGCTAATCATGTTTTCATCCTAAGGAAAAGAGAATAGATTGTACATTTCAGTTTAGCAATAAATTGAATAGTCTTGCTTCTGATGGACAGTGACTATGAGACCATTAGTTGGTAAACTGCTAAAACTCAGTCTTATTGTAATGAAGAAATTTTGTCACTATTTAACTTTTCTTAATTTTGAAAGCATTCTGTGAGGGTTACCAATCTCATTTTTGATCAATCTGATATATTAACAGCGAGTTGAATTGTTCCTTGCTAAAGCTTACTAAGAAAATACCCAGTTCCTTCAAATAATGTTGTCATTAAAAACACACATGCACACATAAACAGACACCCTAAGCGTTATATGGCTTGAGCAAATTTCCCTAATTTAAACACTAGAGTAAGAATGTAACTATCTTATACATGTTTATCATAAAGTGATGCCATTCAATAGGCTTTACTTTCATAGTGTGTATCAGATTGTAGTTTAAAAGCACTTTCAGATCAAATCTCTCCAGCAATGACAGTGGTAAATTAGAAAAGGGAACAGGAAATACTTCATTCGAAAACCAAGTATCCCTTGGGGCTACAGTTATTGTTAAAGACTTTATGGAAGAGACGTTGTTCGCTTATGTTGACCTTGGTCATCGGCTTTATATTAAGCTCAGAAATACTATTTATAAATATGAGATGCTAGTTCACCTGCAGAACCCTAGAACTTTAACTTATTCCTGGCTTTTAAAGCTACAAGATTTCCTTTCCCCTCTTTCCTCTCCCTCTCCCTCTCACACCCATCTTTCTGCATCCATCTTTTTATGGTCCAGTTTCTTTTCAACAAAAGTGATTATCCAATTTCCCTACAAACCTACAACAACAGTAATGGCCTTCCCTCTCTTTCTCTTATATCTCAAATACACCTCGTTCTTATATGCTGCCTCAGCATCCTTTCCGTATATCCCACAAACAAAAAAGAGACAGGAAGAAAGAAGATATGCGAACAGAGAGGCAGGCACTGCAGGGGCACAAAGGGCAATTGTACTGGGTACCTTGGGAGGGAGGCCCCAAGTGAAAAGAAGACTAGTGCGGGCAGGACTGGGATTTTCCTCGAAATGAACAAATGCCAATTCTATTAAAAACCCACTTATGAAGCCCAGAAACTACAACATGGAATTCCCTTAATGATTGTATTATTAGTTGCACACAAAATACCATAAACCTGTAAGTGATGAAATAAGTACTTTTGACAAAAACTTTACCAAGAATTTCAGCCATCATTCTCTTTCACATGGGTCAATATGGATCTTGATCAAGTTTCTATTACTCTTTTGTACATATTATCCACAAAACCCACTACGCTAAAAAGCACAATAGAATACTGTATCAAGGGTAGCACCTTCTACTCAGTTGCAGGTTGCCCACTCCACGGGACAGGTGGAGTACATTATCTGTGGGGTTCTGTTTCCACCACGCAAGCCCCCAACCCCGTCCCCCCCCCGGACAATAAGATCCTTTAAAAAGCATTTTACGTATGCACAAAAGACTGTCCTCCATTTTGTGCAGACCCCAAATAATAAAACACAAGGGAAAATGTGCAGATAAGTAAAACAACTTTATTGCTTCTACTGCGGTCTGCCCTTTGTTTGAGCAACCGTGGATATGCAAAACCAGATAACAAGATAACAAAGGCCGCCTATATGATCTTAGAGCGTTCTGATTTGGTAAAGGAAGACTTGCTTGCTGCTTCACTGCAATTAGCTAGAGACGGAGACTTTTTTTTTAAGTGAGGTTTTTTTTGCCATTTCTGTTTTTCTTAATTCAGCCATTGTGTGAAAAACCCTACAATCCCTGCTAACTAAGGCACTGAATAGGCACCATGCAGCATGGATAGAAATAGGCTAATCCCAAAATATTCAGGCTCTTATAGCATATTTCATTTTGGTGCTCCCAGTCTCACATTCTTTCCTAACAAGTTGAGTATCCTCTATACCAGTGTTGCTCAACCATGGCAGCTTTCAGATGGGTGGACTCCAACTCCCAGAATTC